ATGTGTAGTGTTTCCCAAATGTCATGTTAATACATTCTCTATAAACCTACCATTTAATCTGCCAATATTTTTTTGTGTGATGCAATTAACCTAACGGCACGAGTTTGGCTCTGCCACCTTTTTATAGCGGAACTTTAATCAAGCCGCTTAGGGTTGCCGCTTTGTACTGGTCAGTTCTTATATTTACGTAATCGAAACAGAAATAAATCAAGAAAGAGTTATAGGGTGATCAAAGAACCAATATTGGTCTCCCATTAACGTGCGAAAGTCACGGTGCCAAATTAAATGCAGCCTCATGACCGCCATTAGCTTGTCAAAAAAGAAAGTGCTTTTTGCGTCACCAGATGATATTGAATTCTGAAAAAGGTCGATCAAAGTTAGGTGTTATTTTTTTCTCTTTAAAAGTGTTTAATGTTGTTCCTAAAGCTGGGTACAGCTCGAACAATCTTTTTCTTCTTATTTTAGCCTGTGTGGCAGAGATCGCAACGCACAGGGCAGGCACGCTGTGAAAAAGGAATCGAAACTAGCATTGACAGGATCTATTCTTCGTAATTTGTGGTCTGCAAAGTTTCAGCCCATTCTCGGCTATCATCGAGCGCTCTGGTATGTAACATTCCTGAACGTTCTGCGTGTATCAAAGAAGCGCTCATGCCCGGCTTCGGTACAGTTAACATTTCGTCGCCGACTCAAGTCTTGTTGTACATTTCCCTTGAATAAGTTTCTAGGTAAAAGTTCCCATCCTCAAACATGCGCTTCAGGTCAACATTCGTCTGCAATTTTTTATCCGCGATATTGGTCCCAACAGCTCCTGCGACTAATGTCGCTGTACTCAAAAACTATGTTCACATTCTAAGGCGGGCAGTAAACAAATTTAACTATTGCCATTTTACAGTACCACATTCTCAACACTTCACGGAGCTCGAAAAGAGTAGGAAGAAGACGGTGGCTTCAGCGTACGTTTTTGTAATGGCTATAAGGTATTTAATATATCTAAGAATTTTCCTCTCGATGACCTCAAAAATTGTTTTCGTATGATCGTAACGCTGATGGGAGTTTGGGAACGAGCCGATGTGTGCGGCTGTGAAAATTAGTCAAATTTTAAAATTTTGCGTTACCAGTTAACGAAGGGCATATAAGATGCACGAGCAAAGAACAGGTGGTTAATTTGAACCACCGAGATGGCACTCTGCTGTGGAGTAGAGACCGAGAAGGGGATTTCAGACCTGACTTCCAAACCAGAAAACGAATGAAACTGCGTCAAGCAATGGGTTTGGATGTTCATCCACTACACCGTCACTTCTTTGCATTTTAACGTGAAACGTTTTTTAGGCTAGGTTTCCAGATTAAGTGACACCACAAAAAGCGTAACCCCGAGTTACAGGAGTTAGCACCACTAACTCCACTAACTCTACTTAAAACTTACTCAAACTAACTCTTACTTTAACTCTAGCTTTAACTAACACTAATTCACCACTAACTTCACTAGCTCCACTACACACTTGTTTTAGCGCTCGTGGTTCAGCACCACTAGCGCTAAACCAACAACGTTTCACGTAGCAACACACTCGCAGGGCAACTTGCCATACATTTTTCTAACATATGAGAACCGATGAAGACGTCGTCGCCGTTGCACATGGGATGAACTATTGGGGCGGCAGTGATCATATCATTCCCCCGAAAGGGTGAGTTAGTGAGATATCATTCGGCGTGCTCTACAATGCGGGAGACCTACAAGACACAGCAGACTGCAGAAGGAGGAGGGTTTTATCAAAACAACCTATGAGAGAATACCTGCGCCTTCCCCCATTAGACGTCATCACTGGCGAATTCACGCAATGCCGCCAAAGGTCACAGACAAGGTGAAAATGGCAGGGAGGAGCTACAGTTGTCTCGTTTCCAGCGCTAGCTTCGTGCGTTTGACTCTCGTGCACCTCGATAAGGCCGGGGAAGCCAAAGCACGGCAGAAGGCGCAGAGCGCGCAATTGAAGGCGGCCGTTCAAAAGAGACGCCTTACCCTTTCTCATTCAGTCAGTGAATATAGCTCGCGTCAACGCTGCCGTCTGCGAGCTTTTGTAGGGTCCCTGGACGAGCTCGACGCTAGCACGCGGCGAGGCCAGACGCACGTACGAACCACTTGTTTTGTCACTAGGGGTGGGGTCGGGGATGCTCCGAAAAATGACGTGATGCGCACGCCTTGTCTTTTATAGCGACTGTCAGGATCAGAATGCGAGGGAGGTTCTTAAGTTGTTTCGGTTCCCAAGGCTAGTTCCCCATCTTCGACTATGCTTCGGCGTCTCGCGAGCCTCCAGGCGTCATCATCATTAGTGGATCCTCACCCAGCCCCAAGCGACAAACATGTTGAAGCGGGACGAGAGTCGCTGAAAAGCGGCAGACGCTTTCGTCTTGGCGTCGCTGCGTGGAAGCCTCACTCTCGTTCTGAGACGCTGCAAGACAGACGCCCTTGTCGCGATGCTGGCACATCTTGGGTGGCGCTGCGTACATTCACAAGTGCTGACATTTGGCGGAAAGGGGGGGGGGGGGGGGGGGGGTGGAGGAGCAGGCCTTGTGTTTTAGGTGGTATTGGCTACCAGCCGGGCATCGGAAAGATACACTACAGTGGCCTAAAGGGGGTAGTGTAACGAACGAAACCGGAAAAGCGGCATAGCCCTGGAAGACGGCCGCGGGTGGCGCTGGTGCTTGCAGCACCGTCGTTCCGGCTATGGCTCCGGCTTGTCCGCTTGGTCAGCTTGGCTCCGGCCAGCTCCGGCCGATTCGCAGCTGTTGACTACACTGTCGTCTGCTAGTTTCACATTTTTTATTCACATTCAAACACAAATCATGTCGTTGGAAGCTCACTGGAAACAAATAATTGTTTTTGATGTATTTATATTAGTTATGAAGCGTGCTAGGGTGCCTCTATCTGCCGGCCGATTAAGGCACCCAACGGAGCTGCGGATCGAAGCGCCACCTACATCGCCTTCCAAGGAGCGACCGTTCCCGATACATGGTGGAGGCTACGCGATAGCCACACTACCCTCTTTAAGCCACTGTAGATACACTCTGCCGTTCTAATCCTGTATGTTATCATACAGCGTGTGCACTAGCTAGCGCTTTGAACCCATTTGAGACGGTCGGCAAAGATCGGTTTTTTCAACGTGTAGCGCTGCGATTTACTGTAGAGGTGCGGCTAGGTGGTGGTAGCTTACAGTGCAAATATCGATTGACTAACTTGCCTGGTTAAAAAAAAAACAGGAAGAAAAACTTGCTGCGCGCAATCTATTCCACTATTCACAGACGATAAACTGATCGTGCTCGCCTAGTTGAATGTCCTACCAAGAGATGGCGCGGCGTATGACACGAGAGTATGCGGCTTATCGACAGATCTTTGCACCTCAAATTCGGCACCATGGGGGATTATAAATCATGATTTCTAATCCAGTTTTTTTTTTTTTTAACTGAATCAGTTTTGGTACTTTCGGAATGGAAGATTTGAGAGGCGCGCGCCCGCATAGCAAAGCGTTTTGGAAGATCGTCTATGCAGAGTTCGACGCCGGCGCGGCCTCGACGCTTCCGACATCTGACGGCGGTAGATACAACTAAGCGACCGCAGTCACTTTATTGTCTGCGAATGCTGTCGTGGATTGCCCGAAACAATTCTTTTTTAAAGTGGCAATAAAGAGGTAGCTATACAAGGCCAACCTACCTCCGCAACCGCGTTACCACCAATGTGTAAAGCGGGCACGCCATGACCGCTATGCAACATAAAAAAAAAAAAAAAAAAACTACTACTGGTTTTAAGGATTGAACTTCGGCCACCCTCGTGAAAGCTCAGTGTGCTGCTGACTGAGCTACGGGCCCCGCACGTGGGAGCAGGAGGCGCATAAACAGGTGGTGGAAAAAAAGCCCGTGGAGGGGACAGGGGTGGAAAGGGCAAGAAGGAGAGCAACAGAAACAGGTGGTATAAAATGAAAGCATGGAACGAGGGGGAATGCAAAGGACAGAAAAGCGCAATCCCCCTCTATTGTGACCCAAAAATATTTAGCGCAACGGCTTTGTGTCCGGTTGGTGCTGAGGAGGAGCGCGCTCAGCGTCACAAAGGTATACAATGGTATGACGTAATCTGTTTTCACACAAAATCCTGCCCTAGGCCACACCTAAACTAAGAGCACTATCCACCACAGGCAGTGACGTACCAAGGGTCCATCTTACCCTAGTCACGACCCTATAAACCTACCCCATTTAAACGCGTTTTGTAAAATAACCATAACTGCAACCAATTTTTTTGAACGAGGTAAGTTTTTTTTTTTTTTATTTGTTTCCATCATTTAGTCGCACCTTTGAACTTAATCACAGCGTGATACATTGATAAACCAAGTTTTGCGGACCGCCTAAGTTTGGTTTGAAGTGTTAGTGTACATACATGGCTTTGCAAGTGGTGTAGGTTCTGCCATAGCCTCCTCTATTCGGAGAAAGCCTGGCACGTCGCGAGAAAAGACGGCCACCGTAAATGAGAAAGGAGGGGCGGAGAAACGGGAGCGGAGAGAACCTTGCCTGCTAGCGCCACAAAAGAGCGAGCGGCCAAACGCAGAAACAATCTTGTTTTTTTCTCTCTCTCTTTTCTTGTCGCTATCGTGGAGAGGAGAAACTCAACGTCCACCCTTTCCCGTTTCCCCCTGCGCCCTTTCGAATCGCCGCGCCAGTTTCTCCCGGAGTACGAAAACGACGGTGACGAAAACACAAAAACAAGCGTGGTTCGGGGAGCGGCCGCTCATGACCCAAGCGCTCGCTGTCTAGGTCTGGCCTTTCTGCTCTGCGCTACCATATTGGTCACCGTTCGGCGCGCTCCTCCTCTCCTTTTTCCTGCGGCCGCGCGCCCTATGGCTCCGTCGTCGATGTGCCAGGCTTTCTCCGTATAGAGGAGGCTATGGTTCTGCAAATTCCGTAGCTAAAGCAACGAAGATACTGAGGTGAAGCTAGAAAACAATGAACAAATAAAATGCCTACCTTTCTTTCCGGCCGGTTCTTTGCCCGAGAAGGTCAAAGAAGAAAGCCGGAATGTAGTTGCGTACAAAAACTGCGACGTCTTTGTAGATTCGGTTTGTCGTCATTTTAATCCCTGGGCGACCTAAGGAGGTTTTGGGAGGGTGCTTGCGCGCCAGGTCGGTCGTGAGTCGTTCAGCTTTGCTGAACAAAATCTTGTTGATGCTGCCACTTGTACAGTTGTACACCCGCGGATGCTGTCTCAGCTGCTCCTGAGTCGTTCTTCTATTTGGTTGAAAGAAAAAAAAAAAGCAGTTGAAACGCTTTATAGGCCCCCAGTATCAAAGCTTCCGGTATAATTGAGCGACTGCCCCAGTAGCGCACATAAATGTCACGAGGTGCTCCCAACTGTCGTAAAACAATAGGCGGTATGACCTGGTACTTTCATGATACTTCGGGTGCCGCGGAGGGGTAAGTTCGTAACCACAGCAAGAGTGCAAAAAAGTGGTGAAGAGGGCGCTGACACGCAAAAAGTGTCGGGCCGTCCGTCACCTGGTGAATGCTGAATGCCCATACCCTCTAAAAAGTCTAATGCCTCTAATTTTATAAACGTAGAAAAATGTTTGAACAGCAGTAGAGGCTTTAATACACGACGTTTCGGGAAGAGACTTCCCTTCTTCAAGAAGAAGGGAAGTCTCTTCCCGAAACGTCGTGTATTAAAGCCTCTACTGCTGTTCAAACATTTTTCTACGTTTACGACTTTTTTGCTGAAGATTTGTTCATTAATACAGCCTCTAATTTTCCGAGAGCACTCGATAAAGTTAATCACTACAATTTACGAGGGAAGCACGGTGAATCACGAGGCTGAAGGTATATCTTCAGACAGCAAAAAACAAAGAGCCTGCGTGGTGGCGCTTAGCGGTGGAACCACATGCTCGGATGCACACAGCAAGATGTGTATTTTAAGTCTGTGCATATACTCAGCCCCGTCGTTGGGCGACTCCCCGGTAGTCATTTCCATTGTCTCTTCCAAGTGCTTTGTGGAAACGCAGAGGATGCAGAAATCGGAGAGCGTAGTGTCCGGTAAACATCTGTTAAAGTTATTTACCGTACTGAAAAAAAAGGCCATATATGCATCCCTACAACCCAGATGCCATTAACAATAACATATGAAATTACCGTATGACAAATATTCTACCATTTTTCTCAATGAAGAACTGATAGGTCAATTTTAAGTTTGGCCATGGTTGTTTACCGTAATTTTGTCCTTCTCAAAAGGTATATAAATTGTGTTTTTTTTTTTTCACCACGCTGAAATAACTTAAAAAGTATCGATATTGTAAATAAATTGATGTGGTGTGCAACGCTGAGAATGTTTTTTTTTTCTTTTTTTATGTATGGCAATGGTAGGACTATAAAATACAAGAGATTGTCTGGAACGTTTTAAAACTCTAGAGTTCGCTCATACAACCGCAGATTTTTCTTTGTGTGGGTCTTTCGTATTTTATGGGATATGGTTCGTATAGGTGCGCAGGGTCCTTTCAGTAAGATAATCCCCCGATTTAAATCGCTTATTTGTTTACGTTTTACACTAACGTCCAACGTTAAATTCTTGGTTGTCATAGATGACTACTCGACTACACGTCTAGAGAGACATCTAAATACAAAAATAAAACAAATAGCGTTAAATGTTTTTTAGACATTTTTTTTTTTTTCTGGTGCGACATTTATGCAGCCGTTAGATGCCTCTGATTTAACGGAAGGTACATCTTTCGTTTGTGCCTTTGAATGAGAGTTTTCGTTTCGTGGGGGGATTGGTTACTCCCGTAGTTCTCCAATGATAAAATGTGTCGCGTATCATTACGGACTTTGAGCAGAGGCGGTGCAGCGTCGACGTCGTGTCAGCGCTCCTCCCGCTGCCTCAAGTGAGTCTCAAGCCGGTGTCGCACTGCCTACACATCGTACAAAAGCCAGTCTGCGTACAGATTCGAAAGCGAGTCGCCGCGAGATCCGTGTTCGAATACCGCCTGGCAATGAGTTCAAGGAGGACACTTGGTACGGGGCGTTCCAACCACGGACATTGCGGTGACTCGTGTGGGCAGACTTTTGTATGAACTACAAGCACCGCAACCGCCGCCCTGCACATCTTCTATTGAGCACTGTAAAGGGCTTTCCACACAGTACCCGCATATTTGTGCGCGCTTCATCACACCCAGGTTAAGGTTTTCTCTCCCCTTCCGGTTCGCTCTTGGACGCTTTCTGGGTTGGAGGGGGGGGGGGGGGGGGGGGAAGTCACACTTGGCTAGAGATCTTGAACCAAAACTCAGAGCGTGCTCATGACGTACAGCAGAACACAGCCACGCACGCACTCTTCTGGCTTTCCGTCAAAGTCTGTATTGTTGCAAGTACTTACATAACCTTTCGGAAATAAGGAAGTAGAGGAGACGACAAAGAGGAAAGAAGGAGGAAAATCGTGCTATTTGCGTGGTTGATATCCGCACTGAAAACGCTGATGCGCGCAAAAACGTTCACTTAAAAAGAAATGTTATTTTTTTCTTAGTTTACAGCAGAAACGATATGTTTTGTTTGCACATATCTTAACTTCGCAATGCGCTAAACATGCAGTCATCTAACAAAAAAAATGAGACCTGACTCGGCTTGTTGAAAGCTATGCAGACCCGGGGACGCGGTCAACCTCCGCAGTTTGATTATCCTGAAATGTTCGCGGGAACAAACCAGGGTTCAATAACAGCTAGGAAGCGCCATTTCAGCACAGACCGCCGACTCTTCCATTATACGAGCCATCGTATTTCTTAAATATCAATGGCAATAAATGGCAAGCAGAATCAGTGCTTACGGTATTTGAGTCCGGGCGACTGCATAATGGTCTTACCTCTCGTCATGTGATGCTTGGCAAGCTGCCACAATGAGCGCATTGGTCACTACGTCCACTGGAACGATTTCCATGGCTGCAGTTTTGTCCGCAAGAACGGTTGACACCAGACCTGTGAGCGCCTGTGTTTCATAGAAAAAAAGGTGCATGCAGCGAGCGTACACGACAGGAAGGAGGCGATGTCGTCTTCCTGTGGTGTGCAATCCACCATGAAAATTGTTCGTATATTGAAACTTCTAAAATATTACAGCGGCAGCTAGGGCCGTTCCCCTGATTTTCGACTGCGTGAGCGTAAGCAAATTTAGTTTCTTCGCTAAATTTGGCGGGAAAGTGTACATCACTTGAACTACTCACCAATTCAGTTCTCTTTTAAATATAGTTGGTTAACGTAGAAGTTTGTGCTAGTTGGTAAGTAGACATGATAAAAACAAAACAGCGCAAAGACAAGGACGAAGTAATAACTCCACCCCAGTATACACAAGTGAACAAAAACGTCACCGTTGTACCATATCTTCGTGGTATCTCACACAACCTGAAGAAAGTGGGACTTAGAGTAGGTGTTGAGGTTGTGTTTTCGGCACTTAATAAGTTGGCAGGGCTTTGCAGAAAAGTAAATTCAGATGTGAACAACAAGATCGTGTGCACTAAAAAAACACCAAAATCAGCTCGTTTCTTGTGTGCAGGGAGTTGTCTATTCCATTTCTTTATCTTGCGGCCGTCGTTATATACGAAAAACGGGAAGATGCTTAAACGATCGACTCGGAGAACATTGACACAGCGTTTTTAAATTCGTGTCAGGGCACTTAGGCGTGCACTGCAGAGCTTGCGGGTGCATCCCTGCCTTCGAGGGATGCCCAAGTGGTGTTTAAAAATAAGGACAGAGTGACGCGGGAAATAATAGAAGCACGTCATATTGCGCGACTGGGTCCTGATTGTGTTAGTGCCCCGTCACTTGTACTTTCGGATAAGGAGCGGCAGTTCTTAGAACGATGAGGGCAAAGCAGTGACAGTGTTGTATCGAAAACGTGACATGTTATATATCTCTTGTGTTCTTTCCTTGATTTTGTTTTTGGGGTGGCATGTTTGCTATTTATAACAGACGCCTACACGAATAAATCTTCAGTTGAAAGTCAGCGCTGTGTCGTGTTGTTTCCTCAACTTCGTCCTTGTCTTTGCGCTGTTTTGTTTTTATGTCGCTTTTAAATTTGGCGGGGAAATTCATGTCACGTGACCTGACGTCATGGGCCCTAGTCAAGCTGAAGTACCCCGCTAAATTTACAACAAAACAAATTACGCCACGTGACTTATGCACCAATTCAGTTTCCCCGCTAAATTTGGTGGTAAAATTGATGTCCCGTGAACTGACGTCATAGGCCCTAGTCAAGCTGAAGTACCCCGCTAAATTTACCACAAAACAAAATACGCCGCGTGACCTATGCACCAATTCAGTTTCCCCTCTAAATTTAGTGGTAAAATTGATGTCACGTGACCTGACGTCATGGGCCCTAGTCAAACTGAAGTACCCCGCTAAATTTACCACAAAACAAATTACGCCGCGTGACCTATGCACCAATTCAGTTTCCCCGCTAAATTTGGTGGTAAAATTGATGTCACGTGACCTGACGTCATGGGCCCTAGTCAAGCTGAAGTACCCCGCTAAATTTACCACAAAACAAATTACGTCGCGTGACCTATGCACCAATTCAATTTCCCCACTAAATTTGGTGGTAAAATTGATGTCACGTGACCTGACGTCATGGGCCCTTGTCAAGCTGAAGTACCCCGCTAAATTTACAACAAAACAAATTACGCCACGTGACTTATGCACCAATTCAGTTTCCCCGCTAAATTTGGTGGTAAAATTGATGTCCCGTGAACTGACGTCATAGGCCCTAGTCAAGCTGAAGTACCCCGCTAAATTTACCACAAAACAAAATACGCCGCGTGACCTATGCACCAATTCAGTTTCCCCGCTAAATTTGGTGGTAAAATTGATGTCACGTGACCTGACGTCATGGGCCCTAGTCAAACTGAAGTACCCTGCTAAATTTACCACAAAACAAATTACGCCGCGTGACCTATGCACCAATTCAGTTTCCCCGCTAAATTTGGTGGTAAAATTTATGTCACGTGACCTGACGTCATGGGCCCTAGTCAAGCTGAAGTACCCCGCTAAATTTACCACAAAACAAATTACGTCGCGTGACCTATGCACCAATTCAGTTTCCCCACTAAATTTGGTGGTAAAATTGATGTCACGTGATCTCACGTCATGGGCCCTAGTCAAGCTGAAGTACCCCGCTAAATTTGCCACAAAACAAATTACGCCGCGTGACCTATGCACCAATTCAGTTTCCCCGCTAAATTCGGTGGTAAAACTGATGTCACGTGACCTGACGTCATGGGCCCTTGTCAAGCTGAAGTACCCCGCTAAATTTACCACAAAACAAATTACGCCGCGTGACCTATGCACCAATTCAGTTTACCCGCTAAATTTGATGGTAAAATGGATGTCACGTGCCCTCACGTCATGGGCCCTAGTCAAGCTGAAGTACCCCGCTAAATTTACCACAAAACAAATTACGTCGCGTGACCTATGCACCAATTCAGTTTCCCCGCTAAATTTGATGGTACAATGGATGTCACGTGCCCTCACGTCATGGGCCCTTGTCAAGCTGAAGTACCCCGCTAAATTTACCACAAAACAAATTACGCCGCGTGACCTATGCACCAATTCAGTTTCCCCGCTAAATTTGGTGGTAAAATTGATGTCACGTGACCTGACGTCATGGGCCCTAGTCAAGCTGAAGTACCCCGCTAAATTTACCACAAAACAAATTACGTCGCGTGACCTATGCACCAATTCAGTTTCCCCAATAAATTTGGTGGTAAAATTGATGTCACGTGACCTCACGTCATGGGCCCTAGTCAAGCTGAAGTACCCCGCTAAATTTGCCACAAAACAAATTACGCCGCGTGACCTATGCACCAATTCAATTTCCCCGCTAAATTTGGTGGTAAAACCGATGTCACGTGACCTGACGTCATGGGCCCTTGTCAAGCTGAAGTACCCCGCTAAATTTACCACAAAACAAATTACGCCGCGTGACCTATGCACCAATTCAATTTCCCCGCTAAATTTGATGGTAAAATGGATGTCACGTGCCCTCACGTCATGGGCCCTAGTCAAGCTGAAGTACCCCGCTAAATTTACCACAAAACAAATTACGCCGCGTGACCTATGCACCAATTCAGTTTCCCCGCTAAATTTGATGGTAAAATGGATGTCACGTGCCCTCACGTCATGGGCCCTTGTCAAGCTGAAGTACCCCGCTAAATTTACCACAAAACAAATTACGCCGCGTGACCTATGCACCAATTCAGTTTCCCCGCTAAATTTGATGGTAAAATGGATGTCACGTGCCCTCACGTCATGGGCCCTAGTCAAGCTGAAGTATCCCGCTAAATTTACCACAAAACAAATTACGCCGCGTGACCTATGCACCAATTCAGTTTTTCCGCTAAATTTGGTGGTAAAATTGATGTCACGTGACCTGACGTCATGGGCCCTAGTCAAGCTGAAGTACCCCGCTAAATTTACCACAAAACAAATTATGCCGCGTGACCTATGCACCAATTCAGTTTCCCCGCTAAATTTCGTTTTAAAATTGATGTCACGTGACCTGATGTCATGGGCCCTAGTCAAGCTGAAGTACCCCGCTAAATTTACCATAAAACAAATTACGCCGCGTGACCTATGCACCAATTCAGTCTCCCCGCTAAATTTGGTGGTAAAATTGATGTCACGTGACCTGACGTCGTGGGCCCTAGTCAAGCTGAAGTACCCCGCTAAATTTACTACAAAACAAATTACGGCGCGTGACCTATGCACCAATTCAGTCTGTGGTAGGGTTGCCTTGCTGCATGCCCATCCGGGAGGAACAACACAGAGCCGTGGTTTCCAAAACAAGAAACTACATTTATTAAAGTAACAGGAATGGATTGTTAGTGTCAAGTTCAACGTAAAACATTGCCGGAGCGTTCCAACTGCACGCCTCCGTGGCCACGGTCCGTCCTCTCATCTCTGTGGGCGTGTGCCTTCTTTTATAGGCTCTTGTGCTTTTCTATACGTGCGCTATTGCGCGCCTCGGCCGTTGTCCAGTTTGGGCATTCGGCAGCGGCCTCTGGCCGTGGTGGGAGACTTGCTCCCACAAGTTTCCCGCTAAATTTGGTGGTACAATTGATGTCACGTGACCTCACGTCATGGGCCCTAGTCAAGCTGAAGTACCCCACTAAATTTACCACAAAACAAATTACGCCGCGTGACCTATGCACCAATTCAGTTTCCCCGCTAAATTTGATGGTAAAATTGATGTCACGTGACCTGACGTCATGGGCCCTAGTCAAGCTGAAGTACCCCACTAAATTTACCACAAAACAAATTACGCCGCGTGACCTATGCACCAATTCAGTTTCCCCGCTAAATTTGGTGGTAAAATTGATATCACGTGACCTGACGTCATGGGCCCTAGTCAAGCTGAAGTACCCCGCTAAATTTACCACAAAACAAATTACGCCACGTGACTTATGCACCAATTTAGTTTCCCCACTAAATATGGTGGTAAAATTGATGTCACGTGACCTGACGTCGTGGGCCCTAGTCAAGCTGAAGTACCCCGCTAAATTTACCACAAAACAAATTACGCCGCGTGACCTATGCACCAATTCAGTTTCCCCGCTAAATTTGGTGGTAAAATTGATGTCACGTGACCTGACGTCACGAGACCAACGGAAAAATTCAAGTTCCCGGCTAAATTTATCGGAAATATGTACATCACGTGACCTATGCACCAATTCAGTTTCTCCCTCAGATTTAGCAGAAAACGTTAACGTTACGTGAGCTACAGACCAATTCAGTTTTTCCGCTAAATTTGTCTGGAAACAACATCACGACCTTAAAATCATTTATTCATTAACAGCGTATCGACGCTCAAACTACTCAACGTCATTTCAATATCAGGTCCCCGTACGACGTACGGTCGGCAAAATGTCAATCTCCATATCGTCGAATAAGCAACACAGCTGTCGCTGCCTAAGCGCATTACATCGTGTGATTATCGCGCAATCTTTGAAGGAAGGTTGACTTCCATACGATATTGTTTACACAAATTTAGATCCACACAAAACGAGTAAAAAATATTCAGTAACCGTAATATTTTCCCTTTTAGTTAATTTTCAATTCGCTACGACGAATACATATCATTTCCTGATTAGAACCGTTTGAAAATTGCACGCCGTCCAGGGGCTTTTGCACCAAGGATCGGAGTCGGCCATTGTTGCAAACGTACTCTGTTCATATATTGGACACGAAGGTTGCGTCAGTATTCGGCGTAGACTCGGAACGAATACTACGCTTCGTGCCACCGAAATAGCGGCCGCCAATGTTGCTTGGTGGACTTTCGAAGAGGGTAGATTTTGAGCGACTACAAATGGGCAAGAGAAATCGCGACGTGCGTTTTAAGCAAGGCTAGTAGAACAACTCATTTAGGCAACTCCCATAAAGCCGACTTTAAAAAAAGTGACTTCGATACGTACTCGAGAACCCAACTAATGGCGATCACAACGCCGCCATTTCTCCCGCAGCGGCCACTCGGGGAACTGCACGTCTTCGTATATCGGTTCAGGTTGAGTCGTGCACGGGCCGGTGGCGCCATCTCGCATTGCCATTTCGCAGTAGCAAGATAAACGACCTTTTTAGTTTTGACTCGTCGCTAAAGGGTGGCGCTGTTATCGTACTTATATTGGTCTCGGTGGATGCGAGCGGTCCGGGTTTCATGGGTGAGTTTCCCAACTGTGTGTTTTAGTAAGGTTGGTTTCAAGGCATCCGCGTATCCAAAATCGGCCTCCAGCAACGCGGTAAACTTCTCATTTTGTGAGAAAAAAATGTCGTGGAAGAAAACCGGCTAGTGGAGATTAGGAACGCGTAGCTCAATTTAATTAAATAAAATTCAAACGGTTACTCTTCAATGCCACTCGCGAAGGAAACAAAATTTAGGGTCACAATGCCCGAAGAAGGTCACTGTCACTTTTGCGGTTCTCAGAGGCAGTACAAGGTCGACTTGCGCGTTAGTTAATCGAGGACATGCATAACGGTTTAATAGATTAGTAGACCTGTTGTATGTGAACGTGCTCAGATTGTGCTGCGAAATTATACTCACCGAAGCAATCACGCCGTTTCCTCCGCTTAGTCCTTCCACCCAGCCCTACAATATCGCAAAAATGTTGAATGTTATATTCATTGTTAGTCTCACTCACAAGCATTAACAAATTATAGCGACAACTCTCTCCCGCTTGATGTCCTATGCCACTTGAGCTGCGTCAGGCTGGACACCAAGTATCTTGAAACTTCAAGTGATATGCAAATTACTTGATAATTTTGTATTTTTTTAAAGATAGATGATAGAGTCCGGCAAAGCCTGTAAAGCTCGCATGACGTGGCCTAACAATCGCAAGAAATGTAATTTTATTCAAACGCCGCAATTGTGCCTATTAAACAAAACAAAAGAAAAACAGTAAAAATATGCAATCTATCTAGTTTAACAGGCACGTAACCGAAGTTCTTTGCGAACGTTTTAAAAATATTACAAAATCACTCCGCTATTCGCCTTGAGATCGAACCGTGTCACCATCGTGCGGCACAAATTGGAAACATGCAAAAGCGGAGATACCGCCGTGCGTCGTCTTCTGCAGGCGCATGTTGAGATGCATGGATCTCGCCGACGCAAGCCCATTTCCGGCCTGAGCTTGACCCTCGTTATTAAATTTTTAATAATTTTTGTTGTCATTTCTTTTACCAAAGGTTGTGTTGCATTGTTTCACAAGCGTAGAAATTCAGAAAAGCGATTATTATTAAGTCGGAGGCTTCCATAAACTTAACGAATGTTTGGATACATGGTTTTGCGCAAAAAAGACGGACACAAGAGAGAGAAACAAAACTGCAAAACTGAAGTTGTCTATGAAATCCTGCTCACGTGTGGGAAGACATACGTGGGGCAAACGGGAAGGTGTGCCAACGATCATCTCAGGGAGCATGCTCAAAGTTTAAAGACTAATGACGGGGCACATTTGCCTGCACACTGCAGAAACTGTAAGTGTGAGCCACGTTTTTCTGACACTGTAATTTTGGGCGGAAGTAAGGGACAAAAAGCACGTGAGCAGTTGGAAGCCTTCTTTATCAAAAAGAAAAGCGACCTATGTGTGAGCGATACCTCGATAAGTTTGCATAATGCTGAAAAACGCTTCCTTGATATGTTTCTGTGACGAGCGTGTGATAGTGACACGACGCACACGTGGAGGCATTGAAATTGACGATATATCTGTATGTTTTCTAAGGGTTTCCTCAATACAGCTCTAAGTTGCGCTCGTGTTTGTTTCTCTCTCTTGTGTCCGTCTTTTTTTGCGCAAAACCATGTATCCAAACGTTCACCAACTTGCCCAACAACAAACTATTTTAACGAACGTTCACACCCTTGCGACCTCTTAAAACTGGGTTCCTTGAAACCTCTTACAACGGGAGGACACACTGGCGCCATCTATAGAGTAGCAGTGTAAGCTTGGTCGGTCCGAGATATTTTCTATTTCTCTCGCGCATTACCCTTTTTTTCTTGACTCGAAAAACTTTTGTAAACGTTATAAACGAGCCTTTCTTTCAGGTATTACGCACATTTGACCTCATAAATACCGCAAAAACTTCTCCCTCGTGAAATGCAGTTCTAGGGTCACCGCATAGATGGCGCCAGCGTCCTAGTGTGTTCTCTCGTCCTAAGAAATTTTAAGAGGTTTTAACAAGTCTCGTCTCTCTCAGTCGTACTCGGTTGCAAGAGTGTGAACGGGCCTTTTGTGTGTTGGTTTTAAAGAACCGCTGTTTCCACGTATTTTTGTTATCTCGCACAAACCATAGCTTTCATAAAGCATTGAATGTTGAGTGGGGCTGTGGTTCGATGAAAAAATTAAACAGACTCACCGCTACCTTTTAATAGACTAATCAATCGATAAATCCGTTAGTAGATTTTTCGCCACTCATGTTGCAAGAAGGATGTTAAAACTACACGTATTTTTAACTATTTTTACTGATATAAATTGCATAGTGCATTCCCAATCTAAACTTGACGTTGTGACGCCTACAGAAATATGAACACGACAAGCCTTTTAATCTGAAATCATTTTTAACTTATTATTTGAACAGCGTAATCACCCTCGGAGGTAATCACAAGCACGCCGCAGTGGTTTACCGTGCAAGCATGTGTCACGAAATAATAGAACACCTAAAAACTATTAAAACGTGCATTTCTTACTTTTTGTTGACCTTTTCCAGCACAAGATTTTGATTAAACGGCAAAATAAAAAATCACAATTAAAGCATCGTGCTCTCGAATAATCTGAAGGTTAATGGATGAACTTCCCAGTCCCGACATGCGTTAGGTGAGGGCGGAGGGTGATCGGAAGGTCTCGTGAAGGTCGCCAGTAAAAGAGTATCAGTAAAAGAGAGTCGCTGCGGCCGATGCTGTCTGTGTCATGGTTTGAGTCGTTTGTTGGAATTTCAGAGTCAAGTGTGTTCGAATAGAAGATTCTTTAGCCAGAAATTTATAATCTGAGCCTCTTGACGTCCGAAGCCCTCGTCAAGAAAATGTAAGCGGGTGAATCCATACTACTGAGAAAGGCATCGAATAACACGAACGTTGCTGCGTTGCTTGGTTACACTCGTTTATTGCACTCGAAGCATATATATTAGAACCGTTTGTTTTACTTGTGTAGCGGTCATCGCGCCAGCTCTTGAAAGGCAGGAAAGAAGAGGACGACACGGAGAAGAAGCTCGCGAGCAAGTTGAGCGGCTAGGTTCCGAAGGCCGTGACAGCGATTTGTACCTGATATGTAAATAATGCATATATATAAATACTGATTGCTATATATATATTATTTACATATCAGGTACAGATCGCTGTCACGGCCTTCGGAACCTAGCCGCTCAACTTGCTCGCGAGCTTCTTCTCCGTGTCGTCATCTTCTTTCCTGCCTTTCAAGAGCTGGCGCGATGACCACTACACTTGTTTCAGCTGTCGTGCCAACGTGCAGTTTCCGGATAGTAACTAGAACAGGCACTCTTTCCTCATCGCAAAATAGTAGAATTTTTCAGACTCCGAAAAACTTACTTACACCATGGCACAGTAAAGGAAAACACTGGCTGCAGTGAAACTCAATAGTACGGTAATTTCTAATACAGCAGTAACTTCCCTTCATGCTAAATATTGATATTACAGCAAAAGCTTAAAAGTTAAAAAATGCATAGAATCTGCGTTTCCACAGCCCACAGTACCAGTGTTATGATATCCGGGTTAAATGTCATTGTTTTGTTGAATTTCCGCGCTAGTCAACCAATACATCTATTTTCAAAGAAAGAAATGTTTAACATAAATAGTGCGGTTCACCTGGAGACAGGCATCCATCGTGGTGATCCATGCTTCCCAACGTCTGCCTAGAGCAGACCACACATCCACAAGAGCGATTATTTAAATTTAGGCCGTACGCTGGTAACACGATTCAACCTTCACTGAAGCACCAAACAGTAAGGCTTCATTTTCCGCTAAAACTGGTTTCCCACCGATACTATGCGACAAAAATAAACTCAAGTATCTAGGCCGTCTTGCGATCGAACGTGGAGAGCCTATGGGGCGGCCGTGCTTCTACCCCTGCTCTGATGATGATGACGGTGGCCCGGCAGTAGCGCCACCTCTAGGTCGATCTCGAGGTCAATAACAATATACTATTTATCAATATGCTATCGCCCCAACACGATACGAAATTACATTTATTCGGTAGTGCAATGTACGAAATTAAATTAATAAAAGAAACGTTCAATCAATTATGCATACAATAAAAGCACTCCAAAGGTAGTTCTTGTAACTGAACAACTTGTGTAAAATAATAAAAGATACAACAATCGTAATCGAAAGACAGGATTCACAAGTGTGTAAATAATAGTTAGATAAAGATATTTTCATAATATGAGGTCTGTACACAACAAGCGTAGTCACACGCAAATTTTCTGGAAGCATGAAGTCCGGATGAAAAATAACACTGTGATTAATAATATTTAAATCGTTGTTTTCACTGACAAGCATAGATAAAATATAATGTAAACTTCCTCGTTTACGTTTATATGCAACATAAAGTGAGCCGCACTCCGAAGTCAAAATCCTCAAACATCAAGTTTTGTCATGTTTCCATATCCGTTCCCAGTTGAAAGCATGGATTATTGAAGTATAAAGTGCAGCTGTTGAGTTCCTTCACTATTTGAGCAGAGACTGGCTGGAAAGTGAACATCTTAAAACGTCAAGGTCTATCAAAATGTGCAAACTCCTCCCCCCCCCCCCCCCCCCCTTTAAAATATGGATTATGAAAACCTAAACTCTCCCGCTTAAAGGAGCTGTGCAACGATTTTAACGTTGAAAGAATTGGCATTTTCTGCTTTTGATATTGTTCACTGTGTCACAAATGGCAGAAAACACACCTCCTTTCATCGCAATGTTGCGATTCCGCCGCGTAATAGCGAGGCAAAACTTGGAATATTTCCCGACCTGCAGCCACGAGCGGCGACCATGAGAAACAAGCGGCGTGACGTCGCTTGGGTAGTTGTAAGAAAGATAGCAAGTTGTGCGAATACCTGCTGGATAAAAGGTAACTTTTTTATAAATCTTGTCGTTCCAACATATATATAAATGCGTCAACACCCTGGTATCATCGACAAAACTTTTATTACACAGAGTTTTAGTGGCGCCATCTATCCTAGGTCCACAAAACCGCGAACAGGCGCCAGAAGCCGGAAGGGGAGCGGAGCGGGACAGCGCCGGACGGGCAAGAGGACGGGTGGTCACGCGGTCGCGAGCGCATGAGTTCTCGCTGCTCGCTGATGGCTCTAAAGAGAGAACTTTTCCGGAACTCCGCGCCTACTTTAGTGAAGTCACTGTGCACGTGACCCGGAAGACGATGCACGAGTTGAGAGGCGGCAAAAAGCTGGATCTTTTTCGTTTTTTTAAGTAAAAACTAGGGTATCCAGGCAAAATCTGTTTTCTGTAGTTCACTGAGAAGTGTCAGGCATCAACTTTCACAATTATTTAAGCAAAGCCCTGAAATTGTTGCACAGCTCCTTTAAGTTCCTATATGTATACCATTTGAGCTGACACAAACTGCAGACAAAATACGCTAAAGCGTCAATTTCAATACTATTGTTAGAGTCATTCGTAGTTAAAGGCATGGCGCTAATGAAAGCTCTTAGATGTACAATAAAGTTTTGGTCCAAACAACGTAGATGATGAAGTCAGACCGCATAAAAACATATAATAACCATTCAACAGTATATAAGATGTTCTAAGAAACTTATCAGAACTTCCTTAGAACATCTTATATAATGTTATATTGTTCTTATATATTCTTATAAGGTTCTTATATTGCCACGTGCGAATAGCTTAGTCAGCAACGTGCTCGACTCCCACGCCGCTGGGTGGTCCGCCAGCGCTTGTCCTTTTTATTTATTTATTTATTATTTTATTGTTGGTATGACTGGAATGTTTCAGGTGACCAGAGAATCTTCTTGTTTCTTGGAACTCGGAAACTTTCAAAAGGAGCTTCGCATGGCTGCTTGAGGCAGTCGTGCTTCCGTCGCCATCAGAGTATGTACAGTCGGCCACAAAAGTTTACGCACCACTCGAAACGTGGCCGAGTTGCATTACCGCGCTACCTTGCGGTGTGGCGCCCGTGTTCCAGACCCGTGGTGCGCGTTTTGCGCGCCCCCTCGTTGGTACGCATACCAACTCTTCCGCTTCCGGCCGATACCTTCTTAAGGCCTCTGCAAAGTGAAATCGGCTGCCGGACTTGACATCCGACTAAAAAAAAAAAAATGAAGGTGAGGCGAGCACGTCGACACTGGTTTTCGGTTTGCGCTTTATTCTCACGCATACGACGCCGGGCGCCGCTTCGATAGCCACAGTTGACAGCCGTGCCGCAGCTGTATATCGGTGGGGCAATGATCGGCAGGGGCCGACACATCAACTCTGCCTGCTGCCATCCAACATGGTGTTGTTCTTTCCAGGTCAGCGGCCAGGAAAGCAGATACTCCGACTCGATCCACTCGACAGTTCGAGACACATATGCTTCCGACGCGTAGTGGCGTGCTTCCGTTGAGCTCCGCTCCAATTTCGGGTTATCCCTCTACCGGATGGATGCAAGGATGCTAATGGCTGTATTTATAACGGGCGGCAGCTCGCGCCACCCAGCCTGGAAAAGTAAAATACTCTCCTCGCCCTTTTTAATTTTTCTGTCTTTAAAACAACCACAGTATTTTTATAACATTCTATTAAAGTGTGCGTGTGTTAAGATTTTACGTGAGGTAACTTTTCTGCTCACTTCACTTATTCACAACGAACCGCAGCGGACCCGGGCCTCGCTGCTCTCAACTAAACAATTTTCTTCTTAACATATATTTTAAAAACGAAGAGACGTGTTAAAGATTAGAGGCATTGCCATAGAAAAAAAAACAAACGAGACTCCGAGTTGTCAATGAAAGCACAACAATGATCTCGTTGCGACGCACCGGAAATGGCTCTTTCCAGGACGCGGAAACACCCGAAGGCCGGACGATGACGAGTGGAAGGCCCCGGCCTTGTTCGGCAACGATAGACTCAGCCAGAGTCTTGGTAAGGACGTAGGTGTTGGCTTTGGCTCCGACCAGCTCTGGTGTCACTTTATCGAGATCAGCCTCGCTCAGTGTTCTGCTCGTATTGCATCAGCATGCGAAAAGAGAAAAGCAATTGACGTTAACACTTTAAAGGTTAACTGCAAAGAAAAAAAATGTTTTTTAACCAGCCTAATTGGGACAAGCATGTCACAAAACAAATGTTGTGGGAAAAAAATAATTTTTAAGCAATATTTACTCGACAAGACGCAATTTAGTCGGAGTCAGAACCTCTCCACATTTGAAACCCCCGCTCTTTTGACCCTCGTGGAGGAGAACTACGCCCCGCCCTCACACTTGGATTTGCTTTTCGGTTGACTTGGCTGCGGAGTTAACGACGCAGCGTCTCGACTTCCGGTAAGATCTGGCAACAACGCACATTAAACATGGAGACGGTTTTGTTTTGGTTTGACGGGACACGAAAAGCTGCGCGGTTTGCGAGCACATAACCTGAGAAGTGCCCCTGTGATGTTCCCGGAAGACGGAAAGTATCATTCGCAATCGTTGTGTGTGTGCTTTGAAAGCGAAGGAAGACACAGGATCCACGAGCGCGCAACCGCAAGCCAACGTTCACGACAGCGCTGCGTTGACTTCGGCGATCTTGTTCTGTTTGGTGCAACACGGCGATGCGACAAAGAACTGAAACGTTCGTGGTGTGTGTGGTGTGGTGCTTGGAAGTAGACACCCACGCTAACACGGAGCGCAAATTGGTTGTTGTGGGTTAGGGTTCAACGGGTTCAGCCCCGTCGTAGTCAGCTCATCCAGTCAAACTGGTCCGGGAGGACGCAGCGAGCGTTTTTAAAAGTAAATCTTCCTTCGTTCCGTTTTAAAACGTGGAAGATTCCCGACGCATACCGTGAGTAAAACGCTGCGGGCATTTTCAACAAAATTACGTCGTTTTAATTGAACGATGGACTCCGAATTGACCTTAATCTGCCGTTTTCATGCTTCCTGTTGTTGGACTGCGTTTGCACAGTGATGTGTCGTGCTTATCGTACAGTGTGAATAAATTTGGGTAAGATTTCCTACCTGCCCACAGATGCATGAACTGAGACCATTTTTTACATAGTGATAATAGTGTTTTTTTATTTTGGTAACAGGCGTTGCGCGTTTATTACTGTACAATCACTTGAGAGTTCCAAAATTCGGGAGGGCGAGCAAACATTTCGTACCTTTTCTTTGCTCTCTAGCACTGCCTCTAGTTTTAAGTTGCAGTTTCAGTAGATATACCTGAGCCAGCAGGTACAAACTGCTCTAAAGCAGGTAAAAGACTGGGAAGTCGGGTCGGTTCGGACTCCGTGTTTCGTGCTTTTCGCAAGGGGACTGGGGAAGTGCTTTTGCAAGGTATGCGGAATATTCAACCGATTTTGTTATGCCCGTCGTTTGCGTCTCTCCGGCAAAACGAATAAGATAATCTACAAAGCCGCAATCACAAGCCAAGATTTACGATAACCGTACACATTCATTCAAACAACTTTACGTAAGATGGTTCGGAAGCCGAGAAAGAAACAACTGTCGGCTAACGCAGAAGTCGGACGTCCGAAGGCTTCTGCGGACTGCTATTACGTTGTGCCAGGTTTTTTAAGTAACAGCTGTGTCTAGTCGACGACCTCCAGAACGATATCGCGAGAACGTAACTGGACACGTTTGTCGCTACGCGAGCGCTCGATTGCCTCCAGCCAAATTGCATTCCTTTCGGGGCGACAGGGCTGCTGGAAGGCCCGCTGTTGGGATCACTCATCTGACGTCTCCAAAAAGTCGGCATTTACACGCGCAAACAAATAAATAAATAAATAATTAAAGCACGCAAGCAAGCAAAGAGGAAAACGAAAGAACCGCGTTATGACAGTCAAAACTCCGCGTCGCTTCCTATCACTAACACCTTCGACAGCTGCTAAACAGAGACTACTTAAGTTCAAGAAGTCTCACTCAAGCACCTGGGTCAGCACGAAACGCTGATCACTTCGGCGAAACGACTAGTCAAGGTAGGCGAGACAGGCGGGAGCACCGTTACTAGATCAACTCAGCTATGGAACTTCCCATAGAGGCTGTAAATTGGGGGGGGGGGGGGGGGGGGGGGGGGGGTCCGAAACCGTGTCCGATATTTTTTGCAGCTAGGTGGCGCTGCCGGCGCATTATTCCACGCGTTTTCGTCTGCTACTGCTCCGCGGCTGCTTGCGAGTCCCGACTTCTCTCGAGGTTCAGCATGGTTTTTGGTTAACTTTTGCCCTTTCGCCAGTAAAAATTACAATTTGAGCATGAAAAGCGCTACGACCGTTTTGGCGTACGCTTTGCATTATTGTAAAACGCCGCCGCCTTAGCTGTGCTGACAGCGCGAAGCGCGTCGAACAACCCAAATTCGTCGGCGCCACAATCCGGTGGCTACAATCAGGGCAAGTTTGTACATACTGTAATAGTCGATGTGCCGATGACTCGCAACAGCAGCAGAAGCTATGTGAAAGTCGTCTGCTACTTTCAGAAAAAGCGCCACGAACATCCCCAAGCTCAGTAGGCCAGATGGAACGGCCATGTACGATCTCTATGGCAACGGTCACAAGCGCGCCGTCAATGATGATGATAGCGTGTATTAATGCGGAGCGCGCGCCCTCTAACAGGCGCCATGCAAAGGGACCCCCCTCCGGAGGGGAGTTCCAGAACTGAGTTGGTTCTAATAGCGTTGGGCGGGAGCAGGGTCTTCGGCGGCCACGAAAGAATGGCGAAGCTTTTGTTTGTTATGGTAAGAATCCAAACGGAAGTGTAAATGGGTTATTCTTTAAACGTAAAAACATGCCGCTCAAAAGGAAATTAAAACATATAACCAACGTTTAACAACCAAGATCTAAGCTGTCAATCAATCTCTTAGCCAATGAGAAGTATAGCAGCCAATCGGGGCTAAACGCCACGGAAGACCAACTTTGTGGCGCGCGATTTAAAACGGACAGAATAGCCACAAACTAAAATCGGTCTCACGCATAAATATCTGTAATTTTTTTTTCTCGCGGAAAAGTTGTCTTTTGACATGCTTGTCTAATTAGGCTGTTAATTTTTTTTTCTTTGTTGTTGCCCTTTCAGGAGTAGGTTTTATAACTTCGGCCACGAAACTGAAGCCACCAGGGCTCACTCTACAACAACCACAAAAGCGAGACGAAGGACTACTTTTCGGAACAACAAATTACTGGTCGGTCCTTTTAGCCTAAGTAAAAAAAAAAAAAAAATGAAAGCCGTTTACAACTTTCTGTAACGCCGAATTAGAGCGCAGCTCTTGAGGAGGAGGAGGGGAAGGTACGGAGAGGAGGCTATGTCCCTCCTTCTGTCCTGCTCGTTTCCCATTTAGGGAAAAAATTTCACGCTAAATTTAGTGGGGAAATTTTTTCTTTAAATTTAGCGGGCAAATTTTCCCACAAGATTTCGCGGGGAAATTTTCCCGCTAAATTTAGCGGGGAACTTTTCCCGCTATATTTACCGGGGAAATTGTTCCTCTAAATTTAGCGGGGAAGTTTAGCGGGAAATTGTTTTCCGCTATATTTAACGGAAAAATTCATTTTTACTAAATTTCGCGGGGAAATTCTTACCGCTAAATTTAGCGAGAAAATTTTTTCCGCGAAACTTAGCGGGAAAAGTTTTTCCGCTAAATTGAGCGGGAAAAGTTTTTCCGATTAATTTGGCGGAGAAAATGTTTCGCTAAACTTGGCGGGGAAATTTTTCCGCTAATGCTATAAATTTAGCGGGCAAACGTTTTCCGCTAAGTTTAGCAGAAAATTTTTTAAAGCTAAACTTAGCGTGGAAATACTTCCGCTAAATTTAGCAGAGAAGACTTTCCAATAAATTTAGCGGGGAAATTTCCCCATTAAATTCAGCGGGAAAATTTACGCATAATGCACCGCACGGTTAGGCCGACGCCGATGGTGACGGCGACGGCGACGCCGACGCCGACGCCGCTCAAGCCGGAAACGGGCGCCTAAGAGCTGCGCTCTAAAAGCTCCGGTGAATACTAAGGAATTCTGTGTACTTGGTTTACGCTGCCCGTCACTGTCAGCGCGAACACGATATCGAATCTTTTAACGCAGGATGTGTCCGAGGGCTGTATTTCATGCGGAAAGCACGTGACGCTCGAACTTAACGAAAAGCCCCTGCACGCAAGACTAGGTATCATCAAGCGTACATAGCCCATTCCAGGCCAAGCATGATCATGCGAAGCCCTGTAGAAGCACGCTTCGTCGTTATTACTCATGCTTAATCTTAAATAGGGACATTCACCGAGCGGCGATGTGGAACCGAGCCCCCGACCGTATGCAACTTTTCCTCAAAGGCTCAACCATCTTGAATGTCGTCACTTCTGGTATACGGTATAACATCGTTTTGATCTCTCCACGCCGCTGGAAGGTGTTTACGGAAAATGTCTGATTGTCACACATTCTTGTTTTGCCTCACCTATACTTTCTCGCAAATTTCAGGTTGAAACGTTTTATTGTTTTTTCGTGCAACACACCAGATACGGAACCCACGTGACTAAAAACGACAGGAAACAAAAAAAAAAAAAAAATGTCTATACGATCCGCATCCCCCACCTTTGCTCGGTAAACACAAGAGAGAGGTGAGCCGGACCTCAAGCGGCTTGATTAAGCATAACTCAAGAAAGACCGTGATTGTAGACGACTGTCGGCGCGCGCGGCTTACTTACGAATGACGAATCATGGCTTCTCACGTAATCTGACGAAGTCACGAAGCCTGAATACATTTAAACTTGTTTTGATTATCCCGTAAACATGGGGAGTACGAGAGTTTGTCATGCGTGCAACGCTACCGGAAGCACCCAGATCATTCCGTAACCAATCAAAAAAGAAATAATAACCACACGAATAATTCATGCACGACACATTCTGCGCCCCTCGGTTTCATCAAAATGATCTAGACACGTTTTAAAATGTGTTACTTTTTATTTAAACGAGAAACTGCAAACGACTATTTTTGGCGGGCTCTATGTTTCGCGAATTTGGTAAAGTGCGGTTTCCAGGAATATTTCACGGGTACAAAATTTTGCGAATGAGGGTGGTATGCTATGTATTTCTTTTCATAGAAAAACATACTCGCGGGACCAGTTTTCGAAATATTGTACAGGTCGCAAAATCCGCACAAATTAAGTACTCGCCAAAGGTAAGTCGTTTACAGTATTGACAAACATAATATTTTTTCGGCTTAGGCTAGAATTTCTAATAATCACTCTCTTTTTCGTACCTGTAAGTGCCATAACAGGAATCAATACGAAGCAAAAAAAAAAAAAAAAAGAACATGCGGTCGCTTTTTTGTGTTTATACTTTGTCGTGCTACGTACATACGGCGTGCATTTAGCTGACAAACGCCACCTTTATCACCGTTACGCGCTAATCTCATCCTATAGATATATATATTATCGGTCTATATGCGTATATATTATTATCTGCAGCCCTTGCAATAAATAACCGCGTAGGTTACGATAAAAAAAATATGGGTGGAAACTTTCTATAGACTGATCTCTGACCTGTTAGAACATTCAGTTCTTGAGGACGGCGGTGTTAGGTTCTTGAAAGTATCTGTTTTTAGTATTAAAATAAACATATTAGGCCACCAATGGAATTAATTTTTCGTCATTTTATTGATACAGAAACTATAACTATAAACATGTTGTTTTATTTTACAAATCCTTTAAAGCAAGAAAAAAATACTTGAGGAACTTGGCCGGTTGCTTCTTGTTTCTCCCGTTTAATAGAACAATAGACTCGTGTACTGATCATAAGATTATAAACTACTTAAAAAGGCAAATATCGCGCGACAATAAAGCATACAAACGAATTCCTGAATCACAAGATAAATACACTTGCTTCTTGACAGTTTTTTTTTATCGGAGTTAGTAGACGGTTGTCGATATTCTAAGTATTCCTCAATGTTACCCCTGTGTTGTTTAAGATATTCTTAGATGCAGTAAAAAAACATGTTTCCTTCACATTTCGTTTATGCACCGAATTCATTCACTTTCAAATCATCACGAAAAAGTAGGGCTGCGCTGTTAATTTTGTAAGAAAAAGGAAAAAACACAATTAAAAAAAACCTGTATTTTTAATATTATTTATCTATGTCATAATGTGCAGAAACACCAGCCTAAATCAACTTCTATAGTTGGAGCTGGGCTAGAAAAAGTTATTATGGGACCTCCCGTAAAATAAATATGCTGCGATCACTTGTGACAACTTTCGTATACAGGGAAGACGGTACCGATAATAACGTAATCCCGTGACACGAGGTAGATAAAAATTTTGAACCACAATTCGCGAGCTTTCAACTAGAAACAGACCCTGTTCAGAACTCCCTCAGGAAACATTGGGGGTCGCCATTGCTCGGGTACAAAGCGCGTGATTGGATATGAGTCTTTGCAGAACTCAGACGAAGTCCTCTGGTGGAATAAGAGGTCAGAGTGTGTGCCCAAACATTAGGGGACTCGGATAGGTTGCTCAGCACCTGTTACACTTCGTTTCACCGTGACTCTGCAAAAAGCAGACGCTGCGCCATCCCCACCCCTTTGAGCCATTTGGAGCGACGGAGGCGAGCTTAACCCAAGCAGTTGGAGAACAGGGAAAAGAGGAGCTCCCCTCTTGCCCGAACCATCTTCTGCCGAACCCAGACGTTGCTGTTGTATCCTCAAAAAAATCAGTCCGTCCCTCAACATAATACAAAAGCGGGTTCCCTCTCTCTCCCGCCCGTGGCTTTGACAGCGCCGCAAGGAAATGGAGAAATACAGTCACGTGTCTCCGTTCGACGCCCTGATTGGCTCCCTGGGACCTCAGCCTTCGCAGTTTGCCAAGTTACGGTGGGGCGGACTATAGATGACGCGCACTTTTGAAAGGGTTCGTCATCGTTGTATAGGAGAGAAATAACTTTACTTTGTAAGCGAAATGATGTCATCCGGCTTTACCGTGGATGGGTAAACTCGCTCCTCCAGTGCGTCCAGATCGCTGTGGGCGAATGCTGTCGAGACATGCACAACAGCCTAAATAAAAAAAAAATGGAGTCAGGAATTTGCACATGTTGTAGTAATTCACAATTAACACTTCCGATGCGAACTCAAGGGGAAGTAAATGAAGGGAAGCTTAAAAAATTCCTGTAAAAACAAGTTAGAGGTAAATGTTAGCGTATTTTACTCTCGTGAATTTGAATACCCCAAGGATTTGGCCCGATCGAATGTATCAGTATATGCGAGAAAAACCTAAAAGCCAGACACTGAGTGGGACGTCATACCCGGATGTTTGAAACGCCTTTCGCGTGCCGCTTGTGAGAGAACGGATACAGCGTTTCTGAGGTTGCTTCACGCACTTGCGTGAGTTCGACTCAGTGCGACTGATACACTCTAAAAAAAGCCCGTGAGTCTGCCTTCGCGCACAACGCCTCGGAGAGCCAATCACCGCAACTTACGGAGGCAACTCAGAAAAATGACGATGCCGAAACATATGTTTAGACCAAAAAAAACCAGTCTGTGTTGTGACATTAAGCAATGCAAGCGTGACGTTTTCCATTGCTTAATGTCACAGTTCCGACTGCGTTTTTTGGTCGAAACATATGCTTCGGCATTGTCATTCGCTGAGCTGCCTCCGTAAGTTGCGGTGATTGGCTTTCCGAGTGCTGTGCGTGAAAGTTGACGCACAAACTTGTTTTAGAGTGTACGTCTTGTGACGTTAATCCTTTTTACGGGTCGCTACGGCAGCAGCTACTTCGGCTACAACAAACCGAAGTAAAACCAGTTTGGTTGGAGCTAACGCCGCTGTTGCCATAGCGACCCGTAAAAAGATTAACGTCGTAAGCGCTGCAGTCGCACTCGGACCGACTCGATGCAAGTGTGTGAATCGGCCTTGACTGTTCGGGCAATGCTTGCGGAAGGCTCGAAAATCTTGAGGTTTCTATAGTACGTCACGATTCAATCCTCTCACGGGACGCGCACGAGGGAGGGGTTTCAGCGCTACATTGAAAGCGCTGTTGTGACTACGTGGCGCATCAATATGACATACAGGCTGTTTCACGAAAAGTAGACCAATTCGATATTGCGAAAAGTACGCTTCGCAACAAAAAGGCTACAATTGAAAACGAGCGTGTTGGTTAATAGATACAAAACTTGAAAGTATAAAACCGAGAGGACGAGGACGAAAAAAGGACATCTTTCACCCTTTGAAAAGATGTCCTGTTCCCGTCCTCGTCCTCTCTGTTTTATACTTTCAAGTTTTGTAACAAAAAAAGGCTTGTGTCGTTTTGGTCCTGGGTCAGGGGCCTGTTTACGAAAATGATTAAAGTCCGGGGTAATTAGATTGTTAATTATTTTTGCGTAATTAACCTTTTTAATGTTGTGTTTAAGGGCTTGGTTTCAATTAGAAACTTGCTGAACATCATCCAAAAACACTAAATCGACAAAGTGTAAAACAATAGAAGGCACGCGCAGAATTTAACGGCTTTCTGAAAAACCGCACAACTTCGACGGGTTTTTAGGTTTCGGTTTGCAATTGCAGCGCATCTCCGCACCGACGGCACCGCGCCCCGTGGAGAAATAGTGCAACCAACCCCTGCTGCGCTGTCCTCGCGCAACGCAAAAGAGGCTGGTTTGCACTTTTTCTCAAGGAGTGATTCTAAACGTAGAAACGTAGTGATTCTGAACGTAGAAACGTAGTGATTCTGAACGTAGAACGTAGAAACGTAGTGATTCTAATTGTAGAAGTAGAATATACCAAAAGTTAAAACTCGTTTCATGACTCTTTTAGTTGCATTGTCTTGCTTCGTAGCTCAAGGTGCTCATGTTATCTGCGCACACGAATACACATTATTCACGCCAAAAATATATACCCGTCTGGATTCAGTTTCAACTTACCTTCATCTTCTTGATATGATGGCAAAGATCCAGTACATGTTTGGTGCCTTCCATGTTAATTTTCACAGCGTTTCTGAAACCAAGAAAGCCAGCTGGACGATCAACAGGAATATCCTCAAAAGGACAAGATGAACTAAAGAAGTGTGACCTCGCGTGCTTGTCGCGATGTCTGCCAAGAGACCCCCTTCAATTTGGTATCGCGGCTCGCGCATGCACAAAACTGAGTCCTTCACGCAGTTGCTGAACGCTTCTCGGTGTAAAACTCCTGAACGCTGATAAATTCTGGCCACACACTTGCAGCGTGACTTCGTTTTTTTCAAATTTGCAATGGGTTCCACACATTGTATTTTCTCGATAATTGAAAAGCGTGAGAAAGTGGCCTCTGTTCGTAGTGAGATCACAGTACAGAATAAATAAAAAGTGCAGTTTTAAGACACACCTCTTTTCGATTAAAACTGATTGAAATTAATTCACTCTTTTTTCTATTAAGAGCAACCCAAGCTCATATACTCTGCTAGGGGATTAATTTTACTCCCTTAGAATCCCATGACCTTGAAACTGACACCTTTTGCGTAGCTGGAACCGCTGGACGCCAGCATTCTAGGGGTCTTCTCCTTTGAGCTGTGTATGATGACTGCCGCCGTCTATCGTCGTCGGCGGCCTTTGAGACGGTGGATACAGCCGTCTCTTCTGTCTTGGCGAATTCGGTATGACGGTGCGTCGGCGGGATTTCAGGTTTGAATGTACAAGGCGTCTGTATATTTCTCAGATTAAAGGTCCTATTGTGGACATCCAGGCATGTCAGATGTTCAGGCACGATGGAAATTCCGTCTCGGTTTGATCACCCCTACCGTTTGTCACTTAGGCTCGTCGTACATTCTGTCTCGATTTGATGATCCGTTTTCATGTAAACTCAGGTTCGTTAGATTTTACATCTCGGTCCGATAATCCATCTCGTTGGATATTTTGACTCGTTGGACATTTTGTCTTGCGTGACTCATCGATTAAAGACGAAGGAAAAGGATCACGCAGTCTGCGGGGATAGGCAGGTGTGTCAAATTTTAGGAAAAAAATGGTAAAGATTGGAATGCAAAAAAAAAAAGCAAGAGCGATAGGATTTTTATAGGATTCTCATGATTTACGTTTCCTTCTGACACATTTCAAGGAAGTGAGGCTAAATATTTAAAAAAAAAATATTACTCATTGGCGGGAACAAAAAAGGTAGGCACATGCCGGAAGCTGCCAATAGTTGTATGTTGTGCATAAAAAGACCCATTTCATCATATGTTAAGGACATCATATGTAGAATCTTCAGGTTTCTCGGCACGTGGTACGAAGCCTTCAGTGCGAACACGTGAAAGGCACACCACTGTTGGTGTACACCGCAATAGGAATGAAATTGAGGACGTTTAGACTGTACTCGGCGTAAATTTTTATGTACAATGTTTCTGAAGGGATAGTTCGATGCTTTGTTTTTTCATAGTCACCGAGTTCCTTAAAGATTTTCTGAAAACACAAAGAAACATACCTTAACTAGACCCAAAATATTAAGCCGATTGTTATTTTTCGCGAAGTTATTTAAGTTTAATTTTAGCCCTCGTTTTTCTAAGTGGAAGTCTTGTGGCAACAATAAAATGTTACGCGAGCGGCAGGCAAGGGTTCCCATACCAGGAGGTAGAATTTTTTCCCGACCGAATAAAGGACATTTGACAGTGTCAAATAAAGGCTGCGGAAGCTCGACCTAGCAGTCGCGCAGCAGCACGAACCAAATGCGCTCCATATTGTGTTTTATAGGCTGCGTGTTTGACCCGTAAACTTGTCTGCCAGTGGTGTCGCAGCACTGAAAAGAACGGGTATCTCTGCATGGGGGTCACTTTTGGCATCACCCTCACTGGTTTATTTTATAATAACTATTGTGAATTTAGAGATGCTGAATGACATGCCAGAAAGCGGAATGCCACTTGCCAGCAAATACAGTTAGTTCGGGTAAATCAAAAGGGGGGCAGAGAGGAAATTAAAGTATCTCGACCTTTAAGGCAATACGGCTACGTGTAATTTTCATAAAAACACCTCCGGGCGAGTTTATTGCCGTGCTTCTGCGTTTCACACCAGCACTTTGCCGCTGGCAGCTGTAGCGAGTGTGCAATGACTGGTTCATGATTTAGCTCGTGTGTGCTGAGTTTGGTATAGAGTGGAAAGATCTATGCGTGAACGATCTTCTGCAGCGATAATGTCAAGGAAACGGTTGCGAGAGATTGCGATTTTGTTCGTCCCCCTTAACGAGATATGGAACCTATACGTAGCCGAAAACGAGGGCAAAAGGAAAATGATGTGTGCAAAGTTGTCAGGTTGCTGACCTTCAAAGGCATTTTTTCTTCTCCCCAAGTATATGAAACGCAAGTTGTGGCTTATTCTGTTTACGTATCTTGCTTCGGGATTGGCTCTTTAGCATTCTTATCTGCTAATGCTGCAACCTTATTGGCTGATGAGCGCCAACAAGATGCTGGGGCCCCGTCACACTCTTCGCTTCTAAGTTGTCGCTGACTGTATAATACACTCTAAAAAAAGTCTGTGCGTCTATTTTCACGCACAACACTCGGAGAGCCAATCAGCGCAACTTACGGAGGCAGCTCAGCGAATGACGATGGCGAAACATCTGTTTAGACCAAAAAACGCAGACTGAGTTGTGATTCTAAGGAATGCAAGCGTGACGTTTTGCATTGCTTAATGTCACAACTCAGACTGCGTTTTTTGGTCTAAACATATGTTTCGGCATCGTCATTCGCTGTGCTGCCTCCGTAAGTTGCGCTGATTGGCTCTCCAAGTGTTGTGCGGGAAAACAGACGCACAGACCTTTTTTAGAGTGTAGGAGGCACTGATCGAAATACGAACCTTAATGATTGATTGAACCGGACATCTGCCGCAGTGTGAAAGACCATAGACACGTCTGAAGCCAGGCGCTCGTAGTCACCCGATTTTAAGCCCAGCTTCTCTTCTCTGATGTCACCATCGACGACCACTAGCTTGTTTAAGCTGGATGGGCATTCTTGGCGCAAACGCTCAAAGCACTGGATGAGGGCGCAACACATAAATTAGTCGCTCCTATTACTCCACCTTTATTTGAAGAAAGCTTCATTGTACATAATGAAAACAGTGAAAATGTCGAAGATAAAGTGAACAAAAAAGAACGGGCAGGAGGAAGCTGAACTCCGAACTAAACTTTTCATTAATAAAAAAAGTTAACAAAGTAGCAAAACAAAAACATCAACAAACACCTATTCATCCAAAACGCACAATATTATCAGTCTGCTGTTTGGTAGATGAGTAGGTTTTGTTTATTTAATCTTTTTTGTTACGCTATTTTCTTTCCATTTTTGTCACTAATGAAACTTTAGTTGGGAATACAGCTGCGTCCGGTCGTGTTTTTTCCTTCACTTCGCATTCGTCGTTAGTGCTATTCTCATCACACTCGCTCATCTCACTATAGTACACAAATAATTGGTTTTCTGGGCATCAGCGTTAGCGATAGACTCGGGAAGGTCTTGCTCTCACCAATCTAAACAATACGTGTTATAGCTAGGTCCAGGTATTGGCGATTTTTTTTACCTATTCTGCATATCATATTGGTTTTTATTGGTGCATAAAAATAGTATCGCTTTTGGCTAGTTTTAAAGTTTATGTTTTTTCCGCAGATATCTGCAGTACCTTTTTAAACTCAACACCGAATATCGGCTCTTTCCTCTGCTCGTGTTTTTGAGTACTGGGAAAATATTGGGCAAGCGGCTGTGCTTAACTTACTGCAGTAATTGATAGTCTGCAAATGCCGTATAAAAGGGTCACAACCTGTAGACTATGTGAGAGGGCCTAAATTAGAACAATGTGAATTCCTCAGAAAGCATTTTGCTTCTCATGGTAATGTGTACAAAATAAATGCACCGCATTTAAAATGTACCACGTTCCAGATATGTAAGTATAAGGTATACGAGCAAATCTTAATTCTCTCGCAACTTTGCAGCAAATAAAATATTGATTGACTGATGTTCGATAAACTACGGGCGCTGTAGTTCACACTATTCTATGGAACTTGCCTCCCATATCCTTGTATATGTTGACCGTACAAGTTTATGCTTATACAAAAAATAAACATCGAAATACATTCGTCGGTGTCAAAAATACAAAATCGGTTAAAACCGAAAAAAAAAATACCGCACACAGATGTCCAAAAATCTTAAGTCCAGCTAGAACTATTTTTCTCGAAACCCTCTTCTCTTAGACTAGAATTCATTTTTTTTTTATAAACATATTTACCTCTAATTACCGTTTGTTGCGCCCATGCAATACATTTCACTGAAGTACACAAATACATGAAAATGAATAAAAACCGCAGAACATCCGCGATATTTTTAAAATGAAAACCTGAAAATCTACGGCCTAGATACTCGTAGTATATAAGCCGTCTTGATGAGACAGACCCCTGCGAAGTTAATTTGGCGATTTATGGGAACCTACATGTTTTTTACATATTGAGGATGTTTTAGAAATGAAAATAAATATAATCAGATACTTATTGGAATGCTGTATTTTGCTCCTTCTCGTTTGCAATTAAGAATGAGTATAGAAATTAGTCACATATCTTACCGCTGATCTTAACAGGAGTTCCAACCTTCTTGTTGGACTGAAATCCCTTTTTGGGCGGATCAACAGGTAAATCCGCTCGATTCCTGGGCATGATCGCAGCAGTTTTTCAAGAAGGGCCTGGAAGGAGTCAGTCAAAAATAAATACCATGCCAACTCGAGCGCGTTTCGATACTGAGTCTAAATGCTACATTAAATTCAAGCGAATCTAGAAGAAAACCAGAAACGCAACGAATGAAGAGTAATGACATATTATCACCACGTTCATATTCACCCCCAGTACCTTCATCATAGCTTTGTTATAATTGGAGAAAGAGTACTTAAAGTGAACACCCGTTTTTTACACAAAATTCGTACCTTAAGATTTCTTTATATATTAGACGTTTATATTGCCACGCACTTTGGCGAGCAAGCGCTTGCGTGGCCGAGTGGTTACCGCATTCTGCTTCTTGCGCTCGCACCGCACAGACGTAGAATGGCTGGCTCCGATGGAGCAGTGATAACGGCCAACTCTGGCCGCGGCTTATCTGTTTTTTCGTCGACGGATGATTACCGTGTAGTTCTTCCTGCCCTGCCATCAGGAATCTTCGCTGCCAACACAGTCTTCCTTCACTGCGACGTGACCGGTCGCCCTTACCGGGTGGAACATTTCAGGGCCGAACTCGAACGCTTGGGCGTCATGAAGGAGACCGCAGCGATAGGTGCCTACCAGATGAATCATCTGTGGATGCTGTCACTTCACTCGGCGGCGGCCAAGAAGAGGCTGGTCGAAGCGCGAGAGCTTACGGTGAAAGACAAAAGATGTCTTGTGATCGACCCGGACAAGACCGAAGTCCGTCTGAAAGTGCACTGGGTGCCTTTCCCAGTCCCCGACGACGCCCTGCGCAGGGTCTTCGAACCATACGGGAAAGTACAGGAAATATCCCGAGACACGTGGAGGGCAGAAGGCTTTCAAGGAATACAGTCATCTACCAGGGTGGTTCGCCTCGACATGAAGCAGGGTGTCACCATCGACAGCCTTCCACACCAGCTCAAGGTATGCGGCGGTAACGTCTTGATTGTGGCTCCCGGGCGCGCACCGCTGTGCTTACGGTGCAAAAGAACTGGCCACATCCGGAAAGATTGCAGAACACCCCGGTGCCAGCAGTGCCGCAGATTCGGACACGTGACCGAAGACTGCGTCCGCACGTATGCCGCCGTCACGGATGTTACCACTCGAGACGAACCGCATGACTTCGAGATGGATGAAGACGAGGCAGAGGCCACAGCACGTAGCGAAGGGCGCGAAGAACTACAAGCTCCGACTGGTGACGTCCAGGAGAGCTTAGAAGCCCACCCTGCCACCGAGCCGGCCGAGGCCAAGATTTTGTACGAGGTCCTCCCGGACATCTCGGAGCGAGGAACCCAGGGCACGGAACTCGGTGCAGCTGTTGACTCCACAGAAGGAGCGGCGGCGAACTCCGACACCTTACTTGCGAACCAGGCTCCTCCACAAGAAGCAACTGCCGCCGACACCGTCGACCTGTCAAAGATGGACGACCTCCCAGAATTCCCACCCCTTGGCCCCTATCCTCCGACGGACCCTCAAGACAAGCCACGCAAGGCTGACCAGAAGTGGAAGGGAGGACTCTCCAAAATAGGACGCTTTAGTCCTATGCCCCGCATTCCCCCGGACGACCGGCGGCGCCCAGACCCCTCATAGGCGACAACCGGAGGAAGCACTCCGGGAAGGCCAAGTCTCGCTCGCAACACGGTGAACTTGACTTCATTGTACTTTCTGGTTCTATTTCATGTTCTAAACTATGAAGCAAGCTAAAGTTGCAACGTTCAACTCGGTTAGCTTAATTTCGAGAATAAGGAAACAGTGGCTGTTAAATTTGCTTCTGAAAGAGAACGCTGACATAGTTTGCTTGCAGGAGACCAAACTTTCTTCCGATGCCCATGTAGATGACATGACGCTTTTCTTTGATAGACACTTCTTTTCTTATCACGCGAGGGCGGTTGGGCACAGCGGCGGTAGCACTATCATGATACGTAAAGACAGAGGCTTCATAGTGTACCCCGAGTGGGTATCTGACAAGAACGGGCGGGTTTGCTCGGTGGAAGTTATCTGGCGGCATGAGTCGTTAAAAGTGATATCAGTATACGCCCCCAACGAAGCGTCGGATCGAAAATTTTTTTTCGACAATCTCCGGCAATATTTGGACACGCCGGTCAAAACAATTGTTGCGGGGGACTTTAACTGCGTTTTAAATGCACAGGATTGTTCGCGCGGCTTACAATCAGACTCAAGCCTTGCGGAACTCAGGAAATTATTACGCGACTTTGATCTCGTCGATGCAACCGACGGGTGTAAAGGCCCTCTTCCTGGATACACGCACTGGCAAGGCGATTGTCACGCACGACTAGACCGGGTATATATGTCCAGTGAGCTTACAAGTTCGGTCACTGCATACAAGGTGTCCCCAGTAGCCTTTTCTGACCACGCAATGGTCACGATGCGAATAGGAAAGGCGGACCGGCGAACGAGAAAGCCGCTCTGGTGGAGCTCTTGGAAACTTAACGAAAGTCTTCTTGACGACGAGAATCTGTCCTCTCAGATAAGAAATATTTTATCAGAAGCAACTGCGGAAAGGAAAGTTGACGCGGTAGTGTGGGAAGAGGTCAAGGAAAGAATTAAACTGCTCTGTCTCGAACACGGACAGACACAGGCAAAAAAAGGGCGCGAAACAAAGTATGTGCTAGTACAAGCCCTTGAAATGCTAATTGCTGAAGAAAACAAAACCCCTGGAGTCTTCAGGGAAGATATACGTGATTGCAAAGAGCGTTTGCTTCACCTAATGGAAAGCGAATACAAAGGCGCAATGATCAGATGCCGACTCCGAGCACAAGAAAGGGAGGAAGATCCTTGCAAAATTTTTAAAACCATAGAAAGAACGCGAGCGCAGCGTAGCAGGATAGACGCACTCAGTGTCGACGACAAAGTGCTAACAGAACAAGAAGACATTGAGAAGGAACTCGTAAGAGTTTTCCAACAACTATTTACTAGGAAAGACGAGGCGGCAGACATCCCGCTGGATGAGTGGTTCAAAGAGCTCCCAAAGATCCCCTCAAGTGTAAGGAAACGCATGAACAAAAAGATCACGAAAGCTGAAATCGAGAGGGCTATAAAAGAGCTACCAACGCGAAAATCCCCCGGGGTGGATGGTCTAGGCTCAGCCTTCTATAAAAAGTTCGCTGATATTTTAGCTCCAATGCTATGTGACGTGTTTGCTGACATCCTTCAAAGAAATTTACTTCCACCTTCTATGCGACAGGCACTAACGGTCCTTATTAAAAAGAAAAACACGAACTCCGACTCTCTCACATCGAGCAATTTAAGGCCAATCAGTCTCCTCACCACTGATTACAAACTACTGGCGAGAATACTAGCAAAACGCTTGGAGATGGGTCTTAAGTTTGTTGTAGGTGACCACCAGGCCTATGGCTTTAAAGGGAGGTCCATCACCTCCAACGTTCACACTATGCGTATACTTACCGAAACCGCTGAAGCGACAGGCTTATCCGCAGCAGTGCTACAAATTGATTTAAGTAAAGCCTTCGACAGGGTTTCGCATTCTTTTCTGTTCAGTGTACTCGAGGCCTCTGGTGTCGGGAGAACTATAGCCAAATATATTAAGCTGTGCTATAAAGATATATCCACGCGATTATTGATCAATGGAATAGTAACTGAAAAGATAGCAGTGCAAGCCTCTGTTAGACAAGGCTGCCCGCTCTCGCCAATACTTTTCTCACTTTATCTTGAGCCTGTGTGTAGAAAGATTATTAACGATAATAGAATTCAGGGAGTCTCCCTTGCCAGAAATGCAACGAAAATATTAGCATACGCAGATGACGTTACTGTTGTTGCTGCATCTAGACATGAGGTTGTCCTCGCCGTACAACACATCCTTGATTTTTGTGAAGTGTCTGGGGCTGAAATGAATCACGAGAAATCTACAGGCGCGTGGATAGGAAATTTTGATGTAAAGCCAGAGCGTTTTATAAATATTACCTGGAGCTCAAGTATCCAAAACTACCTTGGTGTTAGTCTAGAACCTCACTGCTTAAGTACTGGCAAGGGAGGAATTCATCTTAACAGTTTGAGGGCCAAAGTGCTGGACTGGCGCGGCCGAAACCTTTCTATGCTAAACCGTGCCTTTGTTTGCAACTCCGTTTTTTTCCCTACCGTATGGTATGCGGCTCAGGTTGTGCCGTGTCATGCAAGCGAAGTCCATAAGATGCATCGTTTTTGTGCTACCTTCGTCTGGAATTCTAGTTTTGAACGCATGAGACGCGCAAACATTTTTATCAGTCAAGCCAAAGGAGGTTTCGGAGTCGTGAATCTTGAGATCAAGCTAAAAGTTCAAAGGTTTTTATTTTTTCGTGACCAGCGTAACTCGGTCATAGTAAGATCATTCGTAAAACTTGGCGGACGTTTTTTAGCCCCCTGGCTTGTTGTAACCCTGGAAGGAGCGACGTCAAGTGCAGTACTGAGGTTCTATAAAGAAATCGCTGATGCCATTAAATTTTTTGAAGCGCGGTTCTCTCGGCAATACCTGAGCAAAGTGAAAACAAAAGCGCTATATTGGGACACCATAGACACTGTCTTTCCACTGCCACTTTATCGCTCCTTCCAAGGGACCAGTGAGAAATCCACAGTCTTTAAGCGCCTCCGAAATTATCCCGTCCGAAAAGCTGCAATGGACTTCTTTATTTGCTTTCACACCGAAGTACTGCCAGTGAAGACGTGGCAGGAGAAAAAAGGATTTTTTGTTCCGTGGAATTTGAACTGCGCACTGCGTCCAACGCCAGAGACTCTGCAGCATGTCTTCATCTTCTGCCCAAATGCAGAACTGTTCTGGGCGGACTTACGCTCTAAACTGCAAGTTGATTTGTACATGGACTGGCACAGTGCAAAATACCTCGAATTCGGCACTGGCCCCGATAGTAAATGTTATGAAGTATTTGCTTTGCTCGGGTTGCATGCAATATGGAAATCCCGCACAGATCACCTCTTGATTCTTGAAGGGGGCAAGCCGGCGTGGCGCCACTTTGAAGAAAGCTTCATGAGTACGACC